ATAGCAGTAAATATTAATGCAAATCATATGCAATATAGCATTCTAATATTTTTTGCAATTGGCTCTAAATAGTGTAAAGAAGAATAGCATGACTACTATTAGTATCATTTTCAATTAATAAAACTGCAACTTTGTCTGCAGTAGGTCAGTTATAGTGCCTTATATCAAAACATTGGCCATTCGAGAGCTTTAACATAATTGGTTCACCTCTATGAACAAACTGTAGCACTTTAAAAAACTTGAGCAAAAGGATTATGCATATGGAGATCATGCTGAATATCAGTCAAAATATCATGTTTAAAAAGGAAAATACTTTGTAATGATGTTTTAATTTAGTCTTAAAACTTTTATCAAATATATATATTTGTGAGATTTTAGTATACCATCCTCATTAGGAAGCAATAAACCAATTTGGTGATAAAGTGCTTTCTGAAGTTAATAAGTGTATATTTTATTAGTCCTATTTGCAAGGTCTTGGTCAATTTATGCTTTTATTAATGTAAAAGCAAAAACAGAATTGAGTAAATAAATATACTTTAAATAAGGTTCTTTAGTTATAGTTAAATTCTTAGTAAAAAGCTTTATAATTGATTTAGATACATTGCCCAATAGAGCCAAAACCACTTTTCTATTTTGACAGCAATTGGTTAAAAATTCTAATAGCCAATATAAAGCTTAACAATGCTCACAATTAACTAACATTTATGAAAGCATATGCTGCTACAGACTATATGCTTTCTGCATATAATGTTAATTTGAAAGTTTCAATTGTGCTCTGAGAAGATTATAATTGTTCTAAACACCTTTGAACTAATTGGGCTTGAATAGTTGAATGAGCAGATTCTGATAGCTTAACATTATTATTTATGTAGATCAAGAAATTATATAAGATTTATTAATTTGGCAGTTAGATATTAAAAGTTATATTGATTAAACTAAACAATCAAGTTTAACAAACCTTCAATAAGGTTGATTATAATTGCATTTAAATTGTTTAAAGCTTTATAGTAATTTTTAACAATGTTGAGTTTTCAAGATTTTCTTCTTCAATTTTTAGAAGTTTTTTTAAGCTCAAGAGTCTTATATTGTATATCTTGATGAATATGAGATGATATTTCTGGTCTGGTTCTTTTTCGTATATAGTTTTTTATTTTATAATTTGCAGTTCTTTTTTTTTTAAAAAAAAAATAGATTTTTAACCATTTGGTGATTTGTAACATAAATGCTATTATGTGATATATATAACAAATATAAGATCAGAAATGCAAAAAAATTAGCATAGTAGGCAATCTTCATGATGAATAATAGACTGGAATAGTATACAATATTGTAATATTTTGTTTTACAAAAATAGATTGGCAGCCACAAATAAAATTGGCAATACTTGATATCTCATTTTATAAACTGCCAAAGTAATTTAGCAATCTATAAAATAATTCAGAAGTTTAGATGAAAAGTATATTTGAACATTTAAGTTTAACTTACAAGTATAGTAAATTAATTAAACTTGACAAATTAAGCTGCCTTTTGTTTATGAAAACTTATTATTAATAATTTCAACTAATATAAAGTTAAAACTTATAAAATTTATAGATTTTATAAGAAAAATTAAAATTAAGTAGTAGTGCTATAACAGTATAATAATTATTAAATAAAGTTAAAAAACAGCTTGATATTAGAGCAAATATAAAAATTGTTGATTATTTTTTATTAGCTTTAGTGTTCTAGAATAGGTTTTTTTTTTTGAATCTTAACTAAAATAGGCTAAGAATTTAAAGTCAAAAGTTATAAGGTTTATAGATTTTGTGAAAATCGTAATACTGTAACTATATAACGATTATTAAATAAAGTTAAAGTTTGATATTAGAGTGTAGAATAAAAGTTGTTAATTATTTTTATTTTATTAACATATTAGTTTCTAGAATAGGTTTTTGTCTGTGACAAAATTATTAGTTTAGACTTAAAATTATTAAGATTTTATAATAAACACTTTTGCTAGTATTAATTTCATTATAAATATAGTTACAGATTAGTTTTTTTATTCATGACAATTTAAAAATTAGCATTAGAATTTCGAATAATTTTGAAACAAATCAAAGTTTTTCAAAAATTGTCAATATTATATTTTTGTTTACAAACCTTCTTTTATATTCTATTAAAAAAAAATTCTTGTTAATTTTTTATAGTATATATTTATTAGACTTAGATACTTTCATTATTTGAGTTGTTTCATCCAATCAAAAGCTTTGTCCTATAGAAATTAATAAACATCATGATTGGCTGATATAAATCAATTGCTAAGGTAACTTTTCAAATTGCATTCTATTTATGAAAAATAAATTGTTTTTATATTTAAGTTTAAAAAAGCATTACTTTTTACTATACAAAATAATTACAAAATAATAATAAAAGCAGAGAAATAAAGTTACTACATATTAAAATTGGTCAAAATAGAAAGTCAATTACTCCACAATTCAAATTCTTATACAATCTAAGGTTGGCTTAGTTGAAAAGAGGTGTTTAGATTTGGTCAATAGTTTGGATTTATAAATAAGTATTTCTTTTTTACTTGTATTGTAGTTTTTCTTTCTTAAGCTGTCTACTAACTTTAATTCTCAATTACCTACTTTGGATAATTGAACAATATATATAACCTTAACTATAGGATAATTGAAATTGAATGATCATGACTGATTCTGGTAATTTAGGATACAATAGCCAGATGGAAATATAACAATACTTTTGGATTAGAACAGATAACTTCAAAAAGCAGGTTTTTATAATCTGGAAATTTAGTAATTAATCAATATAGCAAAGAAGACATTTATGTATTTATTATGATGTAAGAGACCAGTTATTATTTTAATAAAACAAAGTATGAGTTTACCTCCTCTTCTTTATAGCCTTTATTTATTTTAAAATTTTTTATTTACATTTATTAATCTATGTTTGCTATAACTATTATGTCTACTATATTGTTCCTAACTTATACTTATCTGACATGGCCTTCATACTCTATATAGCCATAATAGCCTACATTACTTCTCTGGATAACAGTATGTTATTATACTACACAATTAGTAAAATAAATATATAAGTACTAATAGCAAAAAAATAGTTAAGTAAAAAGAACAATTAAAGTGTTTATTAATTTATATATAGTATTTAGTTTAAATTATTTCTTTTAATAACTTATATTACTTTATTTCTGTATAAAACTTATTAAATGAGAGTGTGATGACCTAGTGAAGTGGTCAGGTTGTCAACCCTCCAAGTAGTAGGTTGGGTGTTCAAATCCAATCAACAGTGAAAATTTAGATAATCATCTATGTAATATTCATATTATGGCAACTGTTACTAATGATTGGTTAGGATACCTGTAATGGCAGTTGCACTAGCATGACTGGCTGTTCATGGGGCATCTGTGCAATGTTGGAGTTACATGAAGGAATGCAAACTGACAAATCAAGTAGTGCAAACACTAGATAAGTCTTTGTGGCTGTATAAATCCGTTGAAATTGGGTAATAAGAAGTCCATTTAGAAAGACCTGAGTAAAGAGTTAGCTGAATCTTTGACAGCCCTACTGTAAAGGCTAGCTTAGTGAAATAAATACCCAGGTCTAGTACCCAGTCCTAGTAGCCAGATGGGCAAGAACCTCAAGGTTGGAAGTCTCAGAGGTACCACCAATCAGGCTACTAGAACGAACCAGAGGAAAAGCATATTATGCTGTCCTAATTAGTGATACGAGCTGGCCTCAGCCCAACGATCGAGCTGACAGGAAGGTCGGCCTTTAGCCCGCACTTTAGTAGGCCGGGCTGATCAAGTTAATGTAACTTTTTTTTTTGTCCAATCAGATTGCAGCATAATAATGAACAAATCTGTGCCTTGTGTTTGCTTTGTATAAATATTTAAAGGTAAATATTCTTAAAACTTTAATTTTTAAACCATTTCATAATGATAATCGTTATTGTTATTAAAAATATATTCTTTAAACCAATTTTTTTTTTTATCAAAAAAAATTTTGGCATTTTTATACAGAGGACGTTAAAATATATATTTTTTTTTTTTTTTTTTTAAAGACATTAAAATATTCATTTATTTAAATTTTAAATGTTTTATGTAACAATGATTTAGTAAAAAATTATTACCTGAAAAGAATTTCGATTTAGATTCATGTGAGTTAATGAAATAAACTCAATATTGAGGTGAACAAACTAGCACTTTTGTAGTCATAAAGTTGATCATTTTATTCAATTTTTTGACCCCTCTCCCTTGATATATCTATTTATAAACACCAAGTAATTTAGTCTTCACACAATTTTGTGTTATTTATCTAGTTAAAAGTACCTTGTTCCAAATAACTTAAACTCTTTCAGATGGTAACTTTCTTGTTTGCGATCACCATGTTAGCTCCTGCATATAAATACGTTGTACAGTACATATATAGTATATTAATTCAACAAATATTCTTTTTAACACATTCTTAATCATAACAAAAAAACATTATACCTGTTCACAAAAAAATGATGGCCACCTGTAGGTTCCAAACATTAAAGTTAATAAAGAAAATTAGAGCGCCACACGCGCCCCACGATGTAATACATCGGGGATAGTTAAAAAAAAAAAAAAAAAAAATGATGGCCAAATATCTAATACTTTAGAATCATCAGATGAGAATAATACTGAATCATCTGAATTACCTAAAAAAATATGAAAAACTAGACAATCGAAACAAATTTCTGTAATCAAAAATGAAGATGAACTTTCAAATGATTAAATGAGCTGATTATCAAATGATACTACAACCTCACCCTCAATGCCATCCAACTTTTTATAACAACTCGAGGCACAATTTAAACCTAGTAGATTAAATAAAAATAAAAATCGTAAACAAATTACTCTTGATTAAGCTTTAAAAACTCCTAATATTGAAGTGCTATCAACTAACATAATCGAATCTAATAATTCAAAATCAAGAGATAGTTGGGTTTGGAATCATATGTGTAAAGATATATTAAAAAAACAGGTAACATGTGAAATAGTTACAGTTAGCTTAGAAGGGCATGAGAAAAAATGTAATAAAATATATAGTCTTTCAACTTCAATCACACATCTTAATGAACACCTTAATACAAAACATCAGATTTTCCCTTCTAATCAATATAAAAAAAATTCAAAGGGACAAACCATAATTGAGATGGATAATTCAATTCAAACCATACCTTTAATATTTTCAAAAATGGACTCTCACAAACCAGAAAAACAACAATGTTTGCAATTCCGTTTGGCTGCATGGATTATTGAAGATTGCCAATCTTTAGTAGTTATGGAGGAACAAAAGTTTCGTGAATTTTGCTATGAAATGGATCCTCGCTTTAAGGTTCCTGGACCTGCATTAGTTAAAACAACAATTCAAAAATCAGTACTTTTTGCTAAGAATAAATTACATGACTTAATATCTAATCCAATGGAGACATTTTCTTTTACACCCGACATGTGGACTGGCATGCACCATCCTTATATTGGTGTAACTATTCATTGGCTTTCAAAAAACTTTGATTTGAATCAAGCAGTTTTAACTATAGAAGAATTTCCTTATCCACACACTGGAGAACGTTAAGAGCAATTTTTGTTAAAACTTTTTGATTATTGGAATATATATGATAAATTAATTAGAGAGACAACTGATAATGATAAATCGATTGTTAAAGGAATGCAGCTTCTTGCAGTACCTCATATACACTGTACTGCTCATACGATTCAACTAGCCATTAAAGATGGACTTAATGCATGCAAAGATCTTTTAATTAAAGCTAAAGAACTAAATAATTGGTTAGTAAAAAGAAATAGGTATAGACAAAATCTTCGCAATATACAAAATGAATTTATCCAGTTATCTACAAATATTTTTGATGACGAATAGCCGCTATTGGGAGATGAAGATTCAGAATTGGACTTATTTGAATTAGTTCAACAAAATTTTAGTATAGAAACAACATTAAATTTTTATCCCAACATTAATACTAGGCAAACAGAAAAACAATCAAATATAGTAGAACCAATTCGTGACGTAAAGACTAGGTGGAACTCCACCTATTTTGTTTTAAAAAGTTTAACTCAATTGCGAGATGCTACAGAACAGCTTGCAAAATCTTTATATCAGCAGCCTGAGTTACCACAAAAAAAAGATGGCCAAAGTTTAAGCGAAAAATTGCTTTCAGAAGCTGAATGAAAAGCACTAGATGAATTAATATTACTATTATCACCCTTCGCCTAAGCAACAAAATTAATTGGAGGAGCCCAATACCCAACACTCGGCATGATGCTTCCTACTATTTCATGTTTATTTACCCACCTAGACCAAATGAAAACATCTCTTATTTCATCTAATATCTTGGATGTTTGTTATAAAATTGAAGATTCAATGTTTGCTTGCTGGGAAACTCCCTTAATAGAAGCTTATATTGCATCTTATCTAGACCCCTGATTCAAAAATATGAACTTTATCAGCAATGAAAAAAAAAAGGTTCAAGATAATTGTCAGAAATGATTGAAATGGCAGCTAATACTATTAATACCCGAAAGCAAACTGAAATGGACTATTTTTATGATGGAGAAAGTCAAGTAGAGCATTTTATGAATAATGAATTAGAATGTTATAAAAAAATAACACAAATGAACAAATATTTTATTAATGAGCCACTTTATAATACTCACAATCCCCTCACATGGTGGCATACTAATCAACATGAGTTTTTGAATCTAGCAAAAGTAGCACAAAAATTTCTTTCATTTCCAGCTACTTCAGTGCCCTCAGAGCGCCTGTTTTCCAAAGCAGAGAATATTCTCACAAAGAAACGAAATCGATTAGATCCAAGTATGGTTCATGACATATTATTTTTGAAAACAAATTCCAAATTGTTTAATGTTTATCCTGAATTAGAACAAAAGAAGATTAGAATTATACTAACATAAAATCAGATGATATTTTTGACATTAGAATTTAACAACTTATTTTAAAATTTTAGGTTGAATCAACAAAACATAGTGGCAGTCAAAAATTGCAATTTATTTTTTTTTTGGTGTTAAGGTGAGGCTTTGCTCATATCTTTATTAGTAATTTTAGTTGTACATATTAATATACTATA